GTCAGCTACTAACCAAAAAGGTGAGCAGTTCGAATCCACAAGTTGCTCCTTGGAAACCCTATGGGGGCAGTTCTGCTCTGTACTATATGGTCGCTATGAGTCAGAATCGACTCGATAGCAATGTATTTGGTTTTTTTTTGTTTGTTTGTTCAGTCTGGCCCCAGAGCCACATTAAGAATCCCTCTATTCTTAAACTAGTATTTGGTGCTTATGTGGCACATTTCTTACCAGTCATTTAAAGGGCTTTGAAAACATGACTCCAAGCTGGATTTAAACCAGAAGTACAGTCAAATCATGTGAGGAGACTTCACCAACGCCAATCACATACTTTTGAAAATCAGGCCTCCGGAAAGCAACAGAAGGTAACAGATTTGCTTAACTTTCACCACTGAGTTGAGGTTATCGTTGTGCTTCATGCCAACTGTCCTTCCTGCTACTCATTTGCCCACGGTATTTTACATACTCCAGATGCTGTTGTACTCATTTTTTACACCTTTAGAAATCTAAGTTTAGAATTAGAAATAAAAGCCAAAGCATAATTCAGGAAAACAAAAACCCAAGGATAACATTCCCTATAATATTTTCTCTTTAAATGTGTTCAAATTCTTAATAGATTACCACGAAGCCCTACAACTATTCCCTATTTTGTATCATTTTTACTTCCTATGATTTTAGGAATACTAGTGTTCAGAATTCTTTTAGTAAGATGATGAAGACAAGATCAGATCTATTCTACCATTAGCAGGACAAACTCTGTTACCTTTATCTCATCCCAAGCCCAGCTGGAAAATAAGAGGATTATAAAATGTTTAATGATACACTTTATGTGAATCGAGTTTAGTTACTGAGCTATTTTGAAAAGACTCTTAGACAGTTTGGCAGAGGAACTTTGTTTCATATGTATTATAAGCAAATAAGAAATAAATTAGCTATAAAGACATATGTATTAGGTACAAATGAAAATCAGCATTTGGGCTAATAGTCAAGCAAAAGAAATATAAATAAAACTTCAGCTCTATCGCTGACATTATGAATGAAAATATACGCCAATCCACAATATTTTACTTGAAAGATGCTGTGTTTCACTTGATCGACAGAATTATCTTGTACATATGACAAACAAGTAGTTGTTCGTATCAGTTGATTTGATTTAACAACAACAGGCCTTTTGTAATTTTGAGTTTCTGTGTATTCGACTGATTAATCCTTACATCTAACAAGAAAATCGATACCTTTGAAATAATTAGCTTTGGGCTCTCGGGAACCTCTACTTCTGGGCAGCTGGATGGGGTTCTACTTGAAATAATTACCGCCAGACTATAGCTAGTTTCGTTACAAAATCAAATCAACTTGTCTATACTATTTTTTATCCACTGTTCTCTAAAATCCATGAAACAATGCCAGGATTGAAAATACATTTCTATGCTTTTTAACCAGCTTTGAAATTCCAAGATTTGGAAAGTGTCCTGTGAGATGAGCTATGCATTCATTTTCCTGATATAGCATGAGAAAAATAAAATTAATCCCACAAACCTTTATCTACTCAAGATGACAGCCAATCTCAGAAAAGTTTAAATATTCTAAGCATCTGAAAATATTCCACTGGGTAAAGTTAAAATTTTTGAAGAGAAAGGTTAAAAGAAAAAAAAAAAATGGCTGGCTCTGAGAGTGATTTTTCTTTCCTCTCCTGTACTTTCAGAAAATTAAAATTCTGGATCAGCCACTAAGAAAAGATATTTCAAAGAAAACCCAATAATTGTCCTGGTGAAGTTAATCCCCTGATGTCTCTCTATTATTTGTAGCACTGAATTTCAGTAAATGCTAAAAGTTGAGTATTTTATTATAGTCATCTATCCTCTGGGTACTTTGTGGTTCAAGCAGC